GGCCATCTGGATGCGCTCGGGAGCAAGAACGTCTGGCAAATGCCGTTAATTTATCCACACATTTGGTTATTTGTCAAGATGTTACTTCGCCACCTAATTGAATTAAGTCGAGCCGGTTTTAAATATCCATATTGACTGGGCCTAGAGAATATTTATTTTTCAAAACTTGACGTCAGAAAGTTGTCAAAGACGATATTTCCCAAGACTAAATTTTAATTTTTCTTAATAGAACCACTCTCCTCAGTGCCCCGAGATCGGATCATATGTAGACTATTGTATGCAGCCAACATTCACCCGGGCGGATGGGCTCCCGCTGCAGCAGTTCGGGCAATGGCGAAGCGAGAATATCCCCGTTTTCTCAAACGCTTTAGCGCCTATGTTCAGACGCAGACACAGCTCAATCCGCCGCTATTCTGACAAATTTCTCTGCGGGCCTTCTAAATGAGAATTGGGAACACAGTCTGCATGAAGGAGCAGTCCTACTAGGGATCTTTCATCGCTATTATTGTAAACGACGCCTTGCATATTCTATCATTTTCTAATATAATAAGAAGCGCACTCAAACTCAAATACGCATTTCCCTTTACCTATGTTGAGCAGTCCTCAGGGCCAGGTCAGGACTAAACAGACAATAAACAATAAATAATCATGACTTTGTCTTGTGCTACAAAAGGCCAGTCAATTTTGACACTGGTGATGAAACACCTAGGAAGTCATGGAGAACCTAGCATTATCCTAATATGCGCGGTAAATCGCCCATGGTGTATTTATACTATTTTGGTCGTATGGACACAGGTTTGGACTTTCGCAAATGATATCGACATCCGTAAAAATAAGCCCCTTCATCAGTAGCTTCCTAGGGGTTCATCCCAGGACGCATCAAGGCATGGGAGTAAGTTTTATCCTAAGGACAGGTAGATATGACGGAATTAAATCATCAGTAGTTATTGGAAATTACACACGACCTAGCAAAACTAGCCGTAGCAAGAAAACTAATAAGTTTGACCTATAATCGACCAGATTAGAGAAGCATGTGGAGCCTCCAGCAGACAATACAGATAAATTTACAAACGATGGATGCTATCGCGGAGCAATATTCGGACAATTCAACAAATAAGCAACGAAGAGCTCAAAATTATCATTGGTAAATAATATGGATCCATATTCATACAAAGGACGAAGCATAATTGATAAAATTATTAAAAGGCTACAACCAGTGATATATAGAGGGCATCAAAAATGGGCATGGGTTGGTAAGTCCTTTCGGGTGGCTGCTTTCAGGAGCGGTTATTTCGCAAGCAAGGTGGGAGCGACGGCACACTTTCTAAAAAATACGGGGGCAGCTGCAGGAAAATCATAAAGGTGCCTGATTATTTGTGACAAGCTAAACAGTAAAGTGCGAAGCACATGGTTCTAAATCAGAATCGTGAAATGCAGTACAATGAACTGAGGCGCAAATAAGGTCAATTGATACTTCAATGCTCAAAGATGCTTCCCAGACAAAGAATAGAAGGTAGTTCTGACGGAGACCTGATAAGAGTAGATATGTCAAGAATCTTTTTTAGCATGAAGGTGCTATTGTTACCTAATTTTTCCTGCGAAGCAGTGGAACTGCTATTATTAGATACAGCAGTATTAGGGCCTTTATTGTCTTTATTATCCAGCTTTAATTTGTCAGCTAGATACTCTTCAAACTCGGTGACATCAGTGAGGCGAAGCTCAATCCTTGTAAGAGGACGGCGTTGCATCAGAATTGAATATTAGCGAGTACTATATCTTATAAAACAAATTTTACTTCATCATACAAATATATTTCGTAGCTTAAAATA